AGACAGCAATTTGACTGTTGTCACTGAAATGACTACCGTTAAGCAATTTTATAACTTCTATCATTGACAACTAAAAGACAAATTGGTTTATTTCTTTTTAAACTTGAAAAAATGTACAAAAAGTTTTTTAAAGTTACAAAGTTTTACTGGCTGCTGAAAACAAAATTTTCTCTTCTACCAAGAAAAAATTATTTGTTGTTGTTGGAAAATCAAAAATAAGTGATAATAAAGTATTTAAACATTGTGTATTGTACATTCCATCAAACTTATCAATTAACTGCACTGACAATTCGACTGTTAATTTCGACATTACTTGCTGTTTCTACACTGGAAAAGTTGTTAACGATTTCTCTATAGTAGGGTTATCATTCTTGTATTTTTTGCTCGCAAGAATCCAGCTGAAGAGCAGAATGAGAATTTGAAATCAGTAAAAATTTTTACAAAAAAAAAGTGAAAGCAACTAGAAAATGCGGAACAAATCGAACAATATTTTCTGTGGAGATCGGCAATAAAATTTTTGCCATTCAATGTCTTTCAAAGTTTTCCTGTAGCTATAACAAGAAGTGAGAAAACTCTATAACTTTCAAGGGCAGAAAAATGTACTTTTTCCTTCCTCTTCCCCTTTCTGAGCCCCCATTTCAACTGCTTTCATCGTTTAATTAAACTAAATCGGGTTTTTTTTCCTGACATTTAGTATTCACCATCAGTCATACTGATAATATAAACTTTTAAAAATAAAAATGATAACTCCCAAATGCACGACATTGTAGTGAATGGTCGCAGTGGTTACCCATATTGTACAAGTAAATGAGTCTTGGATACCCGTTTTTAAACACCCTTCTTCTTCCTATATTTAACTCCATTTTTTGTAGAATACTTCTCGCAGGAGCCTTTGAAATAAATGCAATTTCCTCCCCAACAGGAAACAGTGACTAGAGGTGGGTGGACCGGAAGTAATTCTGCCCTGTAATTAGTGACTTTTTGAAAACTTTATATTCAGTAATCAGAATTCGTCTAAATTTCAAGTCTTAAAGAAAGTATTTCTGCTAATATCGGTAATCGATCAACAAATTTACAAGGTTACTGAACAGCATGAAAGAAGAAGATCGCTAGGTAACCGTGTGCATCTTTTTCATTTCATTGACTTCCTGAAAAAAATTCTTCCAGTTATGCACCATTAATGTCACCATCATTTGAGTGCATTGCGACGTGGCATTTTCTCTCGACGTTACCGTCCCAACACTTTCTTATGCAATCTTTGGATAACAACAGTATGTCTTTATACACTTTCCTCACGTGATCAGAGTTCGTTTTTTAGTTACAATTTCTGTCCTTACCTTTTGGATATCTTTAAAGGTTTCGCGTCTACTTTAATTCCTTTAGGAAAGGTTGCCAAGTTTTCACCAATATTATTTACAAAATTAGAAGCATCTTCCCTTGCAACACAATCTTTTTAAGTCGTCTATAATATAACTTAGGAACATACTGATAAGCTGTATAAAAATGAAAATATTCTTTAAAATCTTCGACCGTTTATTCAAGGAAAAACAATTGCTACTTTTTTTCATAATTTTCACTCTTCTTTAAATCTGCAATTAAGTATAAATTATAAGCCGATGTTTACGTGCTTTAGAAATTATTTAAGCCTTCAAAACTTACCCAGTTTACCAACCAGTGCTACTATCGAAGAATGTTGATAGTGGTCATATTTGCGAAAATAAGTACAGTATTGAGGTAGGCATTAAACAACGTACAACGAGTTTCGTAATGCCACAAGCTTGGGCTAAATTCAAAAAGGAATTTCTAAAGCCAGTGGATTGGAAGGCACTACAACAGTTCATTGCTTACATCTAAATAGGCACTTTTTCTCCTGCTAGCCTAAATTCGGTTTTTTCAAAGGGTTCTGCAAGCCAACTCAGTCCATCTGTATCAATTTTAGCACTATCTGTCAGCTGCTTCCTTAGTTTTAGCAACTAGTTTTAAATTTTGATTAATCACACTTGTATCTGTTTAATGCATCTAGAAGAAAATAAACTATGGTGCAGCTTGCAGCACAGCAGATTTTTCTGAATATTACATTGTTCATGTAGAAGGTTTAGATTTACTGCCACTATAGCTTCGCAATAAAAAGTTTGACGTTGTCTGACTATTTTTAATCAGTATAAAAATACCTACGACTTGCCAGCTTTTTAGATAACTAGGCGTAATGCGCTATATAAGATGGTGAGAGAAGGCACATTGAAACTTTGCTTTAGAAACCGGCCTACAGGTAAAGTAAAATCCTTCTTAATTTGTAAGGCTACAGTTGCGAAAGTTGGATTTCACATTTCATCATCGAGTGCCTCTCATCAGACAGGTACACATTTGATAAGCTCTAGTCAGACATCACTTTCTCAGAGAGTTAGGAAGTGGCGGATGATCAGTTTCTGAATCAACTAAGTAAACAAAGCAAAACCGAAGAGTTAAACAAAAAATGATGGTGAGTGATCAGGGGAAGTGTTTAAGAAATTGGCATCATAAACTGCAAAACAGCAACACTCAAGATGCACGAATAAGTAAACAGAAGCTGTATCAACAGCACCTCTATAACATTTTAAACATTTTACACAAGCACGTTAACAAGTGTTCACATCTTAGCTTAGACAAACCTGTAAAACTATAAAATTTTTCCTGGCAGTCGACAGTTTTCTGAACCCTAGGCAAACGGTGGAATTTTGCCAACAGAAACGATGTAAACAGACTGCTGAGAGTATTGCACATTGTCTTCAAATTTGAACTCGTTTAAAGCTTAACTTACAGCAGTGGTTGTTTGATGCCTTCTGACCACGCCGGGAACCTGAAGTCATACTTTTGTCGGCCGTTAACACCATCGGTCACGCTTACAACTTAGGGTTTTTTGAGCTGAAATTTTATAATTGGTAAGTTTAAAATTTCCTAACAATCAGACAAACACAGCTGCTTGTTCGTATACCATTTGTTACGGAATCAGAAAATCTTGACTCTTAATTTTAAAATTTAATTTCTGATTTGTTACTTTTGATCGAATTTTGTCAGTACTGTTAGTTCAATCTACTGTTTTTACTCTTTTCTGAATTGTGCTAAAAAGTATTCTAGATTTTCTGCAGTAGATTGGTAGTACTAAAATAATTCGGTTTGTTACTTCGGTAGACGTCTTTTATTGGCTCAGTTTTTCAAGACCAGGCAACATATTTTTAACATGCTTGCTAATGTTTCTTTTCTTTTTTTCAAAACATTTGTTGAATTATTTGTTGCGAAGATGACGTATTAGTGTACTAAAAAGCGAAGTCATTTTTGTCGTTTAGAGTTAGTTCAACAGTAAAACTGTTTTTATGTATTAGTCATGTGCAGGTTTTCACTCATGTTTGAGCATACTTCATAGCAACTTCGTAATTCAGGTACAAAGTGTGATTTAAAAAAGGACCTGTGGCTGACTCGGCATTGTACTGGGTATTTCTATTGATAATGTCCTCTATCGTATGCTTTTTATTCTTCACTTAACTAACACTATTCATTTAGGGTTTCAGTTTTACCACTTATTGTTCTGATTATCCACTGTTGCAAAGTTGTAAAAACTATTGTAGTAATCGACGGAATATCGAGGCAGCAGAACACAGTCAAGAAATTGCTTACAAATGTTTCGTCCAAAAAAACTTTGAACTTTTGCTAACTTCGCAGCGGATAGTCGTCAGGGTATTCAATGAGGAGGAGGAGGGTTGAGTTTGAGCAGTTATAGAGAATTATGCAACTATAGTTGTTAGATTAGTATGAACGAAGTGGTTCACGAAGGAAAAAAAGGGTAATAGCGGTTGAACGTTGAATAATTCTGTGTAAGAAACCGTTGTTGTTACTGCCGAATGAGCAAAAGTTTTCTAAAAATAAATTGATCATTTTGGAAAGTTGTGTAGCAGTTTTTGTAAAGTGTTCTTTTTCCACGAAGATTTTATCATGTTTATCAAACTTTTTTTTCAGATGTATAAGTGGAAACTGCGGTAGAAGTCATGAACGTTTAGTTTGTTCACTTTGGCAAGGTTTGGTTGAACAACTACGACTTTTTATACCATTTTTTTTTGTTTTACATTTGCCTGACAGGTGGTTTTTTTACCTGTTTTAGAACACCCTTGACTTCTAAATTAATTCGCTTGTGAGTTATAGTAATTTGAATCTGTTTTTAGTTAAAGCGGAAATTTATTGGGTCATTTTAATTCATCCATAGCAAAACGGAACGTAAATGGGCTTTGAAGTTGGAAATTTTTCCCCATCGAATTACAGATGTTCAACCTTCGTTATTTCTTATTTTTTCCAATTCTGCTAATTGTCGGGGTCATAAGCATTGCTGTATGAACTTTTTTGATTGTTTTACTTTACATTCAATATATATTTAATACCTAACTTATCTATGACCACAACGTTTGTAAAGACTGCTTGATTTTTGTGCTTCTTTTTCACATTGCTAAAAAATTCTTTTCAGATTCTTTTTTCTTGGTCTTCTAATATTATAGAGGACCAGAATTATGGCAGGGTCTATAAACCTCGTACTATCGTATTAGAAAACAGTAAAAGGCAATTAGGAAATATTTTGGAAGATATTTGCTCCGATTTAACTAAAATTTGCTACACGATCTCAGACAGCATTGATACGGACAGGTATTCTGGTTCTTCACACATATTTGTTCTTATCTTCATTGGGAAATTAGTATGGAGTATAATGATAAATAGTGATTTCCTGATATTACTTTCTTAGTTAATGTTTTTGAGACGTTTACTGAAGTATCTTTTTTCTGCCATAGTTGTTAAAAATTCTGTTGCTTCAGGCATGTTTTTTTGCGCTCACTAAGTGTAAAGGGTACCGTAGATGAAGCTGAAACTTTAGTTGCTCTCAAAGTTCCATCAGGTCGACCTTTTCTTCGTATTTTTAAAGTATTTTTGTACTACATTAGACTTCTAGTCTGTAAAAATGTGACTTTTGAAACTTTATGGTAAACTTCTTTAACACATACGTTTGTGTAAGTTTTGAAATAACTTAAAGAGGTTTTTAATTCTAGGAAAAACTGTTTTAGCTGGAAATAAAGCTATTCAAATGCTTTGTTGGGTAACATATTTTGAACCAATTTTAGAGTTAATCGATTCTGATGCTACACAGTCGGACACTCGGAAATGGGAAGTACAACATTTGCAACCGCAGGCACAGTACATTGCTACGATGATTGTGGCTTCATTTGCGACATCAGCTCTGAGTTTTAATGCAGGAAATAATTTAAGTTCTAATGTGGTCTTAATTGGCCTTGGAGGAGGCAGCTTGTCGATGTTTTTGCGAGAAAAATTTACTATGGTAAGACTTAGGTGGCATAATGTAACTATAATTTTAGCTGTGAAATTAGTCTTAAGTTGTATCGTATGCTACAGCACTAGTCTTTTTTTCATACTGTTGAAATTTAATTTTCATTATTTTATCGCTATCAGTAATGCCTGTTTCATTAGTTTCGACAGTAGGGGCCTTTGAAAATTAGTGGGCGGTTCCAGTTTTTCTCCCTTCCTAGAGTGTTCTACAAAGTTTCAGTTTTTGACACGTCTCTATTCAGCATGGAAATTCTTTTGTAGGTGAATGCTACAGTAATTGAAATTGATCCTACAGTCACGAGAATCGCGCAGCGTTGGTTCCAAGCAGTCAACGATAGCGGTCATCTTATCATCGTTGGAGATGGGAGGAGATTTTTGGAAGATGCGGCCAGCAAAGGTAGCACTAATTTGACAAATATTGTTTCAAATACTTAGAAAGTGTATTAGAACTAATGATTTTCTTTACTAGCACAAGGTCCACGATTTCATTCTCCATAACCGGTCAGTAATTTAACTTTCCTTTTGTTTCACTATCAGACGCTGTAATATCCTTTGGCATTAAGCTGTGCGGTTTTTCTTGGTCATTGTTGTGTTAAAGCTTTACTTAGGACTGCTTCTTTAAGAGAGCAAAAATAGCTATTTTCAAATTGATTTGTTTATTACTTTTTTAAAAAGATTATTTTAGGACAACGCTTCGATGTCATTTTCCTCGATGCCTGTGGATCTGACAAACTCCTGTCTTGTCCTTTGGTTGGTTTTTTAGCCGACAACGTGTTAATGACGATTGCTGCAAGAATTTTGAGTCCATCAGGTGATTCAGCTCAAATAATTTTTCTTTTTTTTTTATTTTCCTGGCATAGTTTATCAATTTTAAGCAACACTGCTTTATTTACTTATTTATATGACAAGAATGATTTTTTTTCTTTCAGGTGCTTTTGTTTTCAACCTGCTTTCTGAGGCAGACGAAGAGATGGTTTTTGAAATGGTTTCTTATTTTGAAGTCTCTCATTTTTACCTTTTTATTATTAGTTTCGTTCTAAAACGTTTTGGGATGGTTTCAAGGTCTGAAGTATTTTTTTGAAACTTTCTTTTACACTTTGCTGTAGTCCCTGTTTTTAGGTGAGCAGGAAACTTGAAAAACATTTTCGCAGGTGCTGGTTTTTAAGACTGATAGAAGAAGCAAATACTGTTGTGGCTTGCATTCCGAGTAAATCTACTCTCCCAACTTTTAGCCATCCTGAATTTGCTGGCCGGAGCCAGAGGCTGTGGAAAGACTTTGAATTTGATAGGATTTTTGGTGATGATGAGCAGTTTACTATAGTTAACAACAAAAACTAATATTATAAAAATAACGAGACTTTTTCATGAAATTATCACAATTTTAGTTTTTACTGTTTTAAAACTATTTGGTTATGTGAGTTAAGTAAGTGTTGGTAGGAAGCGGTACATAAAAAGTCGCTTCTTCCTGTAAAAGTGATTCCTCAACGTTGCTCGCGTCCCAGTTTTAAAATTTTCCTGGTTTGGAAAGTAAACACCCTGAATGAACTAAAGTTCTGCGTTTTGGGCCTGCTTGGTTTAGAAGTGCGGGAAATGTGTAAACTAGGGCAGAGTTTTTTGCATAATTGGGGACGTGGCGACAGTCATAGTGACAGAAGTAGTTTCTAAGTCGTTTTGGGTACTATTTTGACTTAGTAGTGATTCTTTCGTGAAAATTTTTTTTGAGCATGGTAATCAATTTCTACCACTTCAGATGTTCAGGCTGAGTAACAGTATGAGCTAGCAGACTGTTTGTGGGTGCTGTTGTACTTTGGTTTTTTCCCAATTTCAAAG